CCAGCTGTTTATCAAAGGTATTTGAAAATGTATTTTAAACATGTGTGGCAAAGAAGTCAGGGCAGTTTTCTGTGGCATAAGCAAGGCTTTGACAAGGTTTGGCATAAGGGAATCATAGCGAAATTAGAAGCTTATGGTATTAAGGGTAAGTTACTTGATTGGTTTTCCAGTAATCTTGACAATAGATTACAGAGAGTAGCTATAGACAATTCCAATTCAGATCTAAAGAAAGTCACTGCTGGGGTGCCACAAGGATCTGTCCTTGGGCCATTACTGTTTTTAGTTTACATGAATGATATCATTGAGGGTATCAGTAGTAACATTCGTCTTTTTGCCGATGATACTTCGGTATATGTTATTGTTGATAATCATGTTGTTACTGCCGCTTCCTTAAATAATGACCTAAACAGGATCTCTCACTGGGCTGAACTATGGCGGGTTAGCTTTAATCCTGGTAAGACTGAAGCTGTTTTATTCACTCGCAGAAATACCGGTAATCAACTTCCAATTCCTAAGCTTAAAATGCATGAAGTAGACATTACTGAAGTCGGCTACCATAAACACCTAGGAGTAACCTTGCAATCAGACTGTAAATGGAACTCCCACATTGGTGAATTAGTTAAAAAGGTTCGTCCATTGGTAAATTGTCTACGTAGTTTTAAATACAGATTATCTAGAAAATCATTAGAGCAAATGTACAAGTCATATATATTACCAACGTTCGATTACTGTTCGCACCTTTGGGATAACTGTACTAAAGAACAAGAAAAACTTGTCGAAAATCTACATTTAGACGCACTACGGACGATTTGCAGGGCAGTTAGAGGAACAAATCATGACTTAATATATAAGGAAACTAACTCTATGCCCCTAGTTGACCGTAGACAAACTAGCAAGTTATCATTATTTTACAAAATGGTTCATCATATGACACCAGTTTATTTAACTGATCTACTGCCCGAAAAAGTATCACAGTTAAGTGACCATAGATTAAGAAACAGAAATAACATTCAAACTATAAGATGTCGTAGTGATTTGTATAGCAACTCGTTTTACCTGATACAATACGACAATGGAATGATTTGCCTGAGAATATGTACGATATTGAAACCATAGGCCAATTCAAAAATGCATTCCAATCATCTAAACCACCCAGTTTTAATATATTCGATAAAAACTTTGTTACACGTTTCTGCCAAATTATACACTCACGCCTCAGACTTGGGTGCAGTAATTTGAAAGCGCACATGTTTGAACGGCACATTTCAGTTGATCCATTCTGTTCCTGTGGTCACCCCTATGAGGATACTTTACATTACTTCTTTACTTGTCCTAATTATTCTAACATCAGACATCGCATATATTTTTACGAACATGGATATAATTTAAATTCTGTCCTAAATGGTAATCCAAACAAAAATGTACTTGTAAATTCTTTCATACTACAATCTGTCCATACTTTTATAATAAAATCGCATAGGTTTGATAAATGATTAATAATGTTTAATACGCAGGTTGCTTGCTTTCCTATCATGCTGCATATTATTTAATATTTTTGTTTTATTCATGTATCAATGAAATGGAGAGGTATTCAAATAAGTCATTACGGCTTGTTTACCAATCCTAGTTCTAATTTATATTACACTACATGTATTACTTTATTAGATGACCAAATGGATAAGGAAGACGATAATGTTATTTCCAACCTGTATTTTGAAGTATTGCCATACAAAAAATGCCCCGCTCCCAAAAGGGCCGTCCATATTTCAGGCTATTTTTGTAGTGACGCTTTGAATAGAGAACCATCTGATGTAGTTAGGGAGTAGGGAGTGACTCTTTTTACAGTTTTAGATAGCCCAATGATGAAAGGTAGCGAGTCTTAATCTGTAAATTAAACGAATAAGGGTGATCAAAAAGGATTGGGGAAGTATATTTGAATTGAGAACTACAGCCAGTACCACCTCCACTTACTCGCGAACACACACATGTACACATATCCGGTATTATTGTATTAAGTTGTTCTTTCAGCAATCATTAGTTAAGTATGAATTTGTTACCGTTCTAAACTACTTCGCTAACTCGTTTATAGCTTGACTAATTTCTGTCTGTCGCACTGAATATATTGCTGGACAGCAGCAACTGGAGTTTACTTTGAGATGTGGTTTCAGATTACAGATGTCGTGTCATCATTAGGCTTTAAGGTGTTGACGGGACAGAGCATATGGTTACTATCAGAAGCTTTGCGCACGACGTGCGCTGGTCTGGTTCATAGCTGTCGCCTGTCGCCTAGTTTCTCGTACAGACCCTGAAGCAAATATATCCAAGAAAGCCCACACAAGTCTAGACAATGTGGCAAGTCTAGATTTCCTCAGCTTCAGGGCTCCTTTTCATTATATTTTATATTTTTTTACTATGAACATTTTTCAGTAAAATATGTTCATTTCAGAGACTAGTTGTTAGTCTACCTGTCGCCTTGATCTGACACTTGGCGAGTGTAGGATTGTTGGGTAACTTGACTCACCTCAAGACGGTCAATCTACATGTACAGCCTGGCCTCTTGACCGCGCTTACTTTACTTCCTGGTATGCAGCAACGACAGCGCTTATTAGTCGATACCTGATAAAGTAGCTAAATATACCACCGCATTACAAGTAGAAACGTGAAAATGAAACGGAATATTAGTTATTTTCAACATATTTATCACTGAGAGTCTGGGTTCGAATCCCGGTTAGTAAAGTGCTAAAATCTTCTTTTTTTCTGAGGAAGTGTTATCCCAAGTATAGCATAATTATAGAATATATGACCACTTAAATCATTGTGCATTAAGTCGCATCTTTTGTAACATAGACAAATAGTCGACAACTTCCATTTATTTGTGAATATTATGGCGTACTTATACAATTTACATTTAGGAAATTGATATGCAGTTACAGAAGTGCCAACTGTAAAATAAATTGTATTTGTTGAAATGTTGCGTGTTTTGCTGATGACTGCCGTTGCTGTGTTCGTCCATTGCTGTCGGAGGACACGTGAGCGATAGTTCCATGGAGCCTGAATGTTCATGGATCCATGCGGCCGATGACGTTAACGTTGTTCCTGTGAGCTTCATTGAGTCCAGGCATGTGTTGACGGTTGACGGTTTAGGAACCTTCAAAAATATAATTATCCCCCTGTATCTAGTCTGTTCCAAAAACTACGAATTACTTAAAAAGGCCACATCAAGGGAATACTGCAGTATGCGTGCGTGCTTATGCGTGTATGTGTGTCCGTACGTGTGTGTATGCTCAATGTACTATACACACAGAAAAGTCCTTCATTTTCTCCCAACCACACAGTGAGGCCAAAGTAGCTTATATCAAGTTATCAACCATATCTGCTGAAACGCTTACGTTAAATTAAGTTTGTGTTTTATAGTCGTTTCACTTTTCTGCAGAAACAATAAATGTAAAACGCTTTGATAACTGGACGATTGTGAACAACAGCCGCACGCGACGTGATTTCCTTAACATCGTCATATTTTGTCCACATATAGACAAACTCTATGGATCACAACTTCTTTATATATATAGTGAGTGTGACGTTTCGATACAGATTCGTGTACTGTTGTCAAGCAGGAGGTACAAAATTCTGCATCGAAGCGTCGCAGTCATGAAATAAAGAAGTTGCAATCCATAAAGTCTGTCTATATTGTACTTCCCAACTTCTAAAATGACACTCAAAGAAGTTATTTTCCACATAGTATCTAGAATTGCAGTTCTAATGATACAAACGTCATCAGATCGCCGCACACAAACGTTCTTTCTTGGGCGTGACATATGGAGAAAACTCCTGCATGTACAAAAAAGGTAACATTAAAGAGGTTGTGAATGACGTAACATACACTGTATATACTAAACACACTTATGGTGAGTGGTAATGAGTGAGTGAGTGAGTTTAAGTGTACGCCGCACTCAGCAATATTCCAACTATATGGCGGCAGTCTGTAAATAATCGAATCTGGACAAGACAATCCAGTGATCAACAGCATAAGCACCGATCTACGCAATTGGGATACAATGACATGTGTCAACCAAGTTAGCGAGCCTGACCACCAGATCCTGTTAGTTGCATCTTACGACAAGCATGGGTTCCTGAAGATCAATTCTAACCCGGATCTTCATGGGTGAGTGGTAATGGGATCATGCAATACGATATATTAGACATGGAATCTGTCCTCCTTCGACTCTAGTGCCATTGCTACTGCGTTGTGAGTTTCTGAAGGTATAATTAACACTGTCAGGGTCAGAAACTCTTCTTTGCCATCGTGTCCCCTAAAGGTCTTTCTGCCTTTTATAAGCACTGCCAGGGTGTACCACACTCCGGCTGTCATAGCAACAGGCTCCTCAAACACCACATCAAATTATACTTTACTGTTGTCTGTGTACTCAGTTGCATCCTGAATCTTCCTCGTTTCCAAAGTAGGTGGTGACAGAGTAGGTAGTTGGTGCTGACTCACTTTCAGACCCATACAGTCTGTATCCAAGGAGCATCAGGTTTTGGCTGCTCTCGAAGGAAATGGCATCGGTCAATGTTCCGTAAACATTCCAGCAAGCAGTATATTCTGTTGGAAACCGTGTTATGGGTTTTTTCTTCGCTTGGTGTTGAAGGTGTTCACATCATTATCAGGGCATACTATATTTTCCAACAACCTAAGACGTTCCGATCAGTTAGGAGATCACAAGTTTTAATCGCCGTTTGCTTCAAAAGAAGAAATCTAATTTTCAAGAAAGTCCCTTGAAGAACTGGTCGTTTGGTCTCGGGAGTTACCTCCCTTCCCTGACGTCCACACTCTGCTTCTACCCAACTGTTGACGGCCTTAAGGATCACTTGTTCCTCGGTTACAGATCATCTGACTCCACGATCTGATCCACCAACACTTGCTAAGTGCCAGAAAATCAGCTGACTGAAGTGAACTCTCACCGTTTTTCACAATAAAGGTGAAGGCCTTCTGAAATAACAAGCTTAGATCAAAACGATGAGCAGCATCTAGAATCACACAGGCGTTGTCAACGTCGAGGTGTTTCTCCAGAAACTCCAGACACTGGGATTCCAAGGCGGTGATGTCATATTTCCTGGAGGCGTATATAGTAGAGCTGTTACTTTGTCGGCATCAACAGTTGTGCTGTCAGTGTAAAGATATCTATAAGATGTTGGATACGGATAGAGGTAGTAAAGTCTGTGCAGCCATTGGGAGGGAGCAACGAGGACAACACTTGGAAAACCTCCCACCACGACATGCATTATATATCAGAACACACTACCATTCTGCATGCTACAGTTACAAGTGAAAGCTTTATTTATATAGAACCCGTGAAGATCCGGGTTAGAATTGGTCTTCAGCAACCTATATTTGTCGTAAGAGGCGAGTAACGGAATTGGGTGTCAGGCTCACTCACTTGGTTAACAAATGTCATCGTATATCAATTGCGTAGATTGATGCTCATGACGCTGATCACTGCACAGCCTTGTCCAGACTCGATTATTTACAGACCGCCGCCATATAGCTGGAATATTGCTGAGTGTGGCTTTAAACAAACCAACCAAAACTCAGTTATATAGCTTCAACTTAGAAGCATTGTAGGCATTTTAGAAGTTGAGACGTACAGTATAGAAATTTTTTTTATGGATACTTCTTTATTTCGTGAGTGCGACGTTTCGATACAGATTCTTGTATCGTTGTCAAGCAAGAGTGATACATGAAGTGGAGGAGATGTATATATAAATATACTGAATATAACAATGAGACAACATAACTGACAAAGAAAACAACATAATTGCCATAATTGGTTAAGCAGTAAGCTGATGAAGCCAGTGAGTACACAAAGGGTAGTGAATGGAAGCCAGAGATGTACAAATACAGGAGTAGTTACAATGAAGGAGATGTTTATACAATAGGTGAGATGTTTATACAATAGATTGTTCTATATTATATAGCTTCAGTTTGAAACATTTTCCTGTTGTGAGTAAAAAAGGAATTACCTATGGTTTGTTACTGAGTTTGGCGTTAACATGAGTGTTGAGTTGTGTTAACAAGTAATAAGGTTAGGATTAAAACTTACAAGAGAAAATGTTTGAAGTAATTTGGCTCTATATCAGGAACACTAACATCTGATTTCCCCGCCAGGAGGCCAGTAAACATGGCGTGGAACACACAACTTCTGGGCCTTGATCACCTCAACCCAACTTCCCACTCTGAAAGTGATGTCATACGAATCTTCCGCTTCGAACATGCGCAGATAACATTCAGCAAGGGTTTTCCCAGCTTGCCAGTTGTCAACAAACCCAGTCGGTTGGATGCTTGAATCCGCCATTTTTGTGGTAAATCTGGAACGATATGTCCCTAAATATCAAGATATTCCCTTTCATCATGTTAAATAATAAACGTCGCTATTTGTATCAGAAAGTTGATATGCAATGTGAAAAAAACAACTTGTATATCAATATGATCAACTAGGCTCAAGATAATGTTGCAATTATTTTATTATTTAATAAATACTGGACTTATGTGTTTATCTTGTGCCGAGCATATGTGTTCACATATGAGCACACATTCCATCAAGTATGGATATCGGAATAACCTTAACCAGTTATTAGTAAGTTTTGTTTCTCTGAGTCTATTGCTCCGAAATGTTCCGTCATATTTTCACACAAGACTGACATATATCTACCGTAGATGCAAAAACACTGGGCAAACATCCAATCTAAAAAGAAATAGTCATTTTCTAAATTATATTAATGAAATTTGATACAAAAGAGCCAAGAGATTTCCTTCATTTTCATAAACTGGTAATCTAGACTTGCCACATATTCTACACTTGCGTGGGCGGTATTGGTTATATCTGTTACAGGGACTGTATAAGAAACTACAAAAACACTTAATTTGACCCCAGTGATTTATGATTTAAAAGTGCTTGATGTGAAACATGTCTAATTTGAAAGAGAGAAATTGTTCAAGTAAACATATTTTCGTTAACATCCATATATTGGTTTTACTTTCTATTCTTACTCACAAACCCAAACACTGTCACCTCACTCAGATCGAATGGCAGTCGTGGTGTAAGGGAGGTAACTCCTGCAGCAACTTTAATCAGGTTGATCACGACATTGATATCTGATCGATTTTACCCAAATAAGTTTAATAAGGATCGCTGGGAAAAATGGACGTAACTTAAATCTAAAATGATCGTGTAATGCGCAGTGATCGTATAAATCAAACGACAGTAAGACATCACATAACCCTATAATACTTTACACCTTCTGGCGGTGGGGGTGCAGGGGTGCGCAACCCCTGACGACTTCATGAACATGCTGACATGTTGAATTTTCCTAATGAAATACACACATAATTCAATTGCCGAAATGTTGTAAAAATGCATCACAAAATATTATGTTTTAATTCAAAAGTTTCGCGCGACAGCAGTTGAAACTATGTAGGGATAACACGGGTGTCGAGAGATATTGATCTCGGAAAATATGTTAAATTTATGATTCCCTCTTTTATGTAGGAAGAGAAATGCATTTAATCTCGTGTTCAAGATGACTAAACTGCGATGTATGCGTGCGTGCGTGAGTGCGTGTATGTATGCGGAGTTCAGCGTGGATACTCTCCACAGTATACCGACCAGCGCAATTTGAATGTACAATGTATACCCCTTTCAAACACACTATACGGCAGTCCTTGTTATATGCCCTTATTGCCATGTTCTAGGCAGGGCAACAATAAACACCATCATTCCACGTCATTTAGTATGACGCTGCCGTTGACCAACCACCGACCTTGCACTCTTCGGAGAGACTATCTATCCACCAGACTACAGAGGCGGTCAGTTGCAATGATATTGACACTTTAGTGTTTGAAAATGCACAGCCCTTAAACCTATGATATAAGAATGTATATACACGCTGGATTACAATTGTGGTAGAAATCCACAAGGAGATTGTCCTACTAACTGGGACTCTGACTGTTCCCACCTGTGACATCACATCTATAGCAGCGCAATACACTTTGCCATGTCATTATAACAGAGCCTTTCAGAGTGGAATTTTTTAGGCCACATTGTGTACTGGAAAAAGATCAGAAGGACATGACAGACACCAGGATAGAGCGGGTAACGACATGGTGTCTTCTGATTGACACCTGGTGTAAAATGTATAGGTCAAAGAGCGACACATTGAAACAGATTCATTGTCAGAATCTGTGAAACTTCAGCAGGAGCCGATGAGCACAAGGTAATGTATTTACATTGGGAAATATTCATTCATTCCATAGTTTGTACAAAGTGGATTTTAAAGACGATGAAAACTTCGATGTTACTGACGCTTCTCACACAATTAAGTTTATTCAAGGTATAAGTGAGTGAGTATTATGTTATGCCGTTTTCAGCAATAACCAAGCGATATCACGACACCAGGTATGGGCTTTACAGATTGTACCCAGGTATCCAAAGTCGGGGGTTTTGGCGTGACGAGCGAAAGCTCGTAGCTCAAATCCACCCCACTGTCCCTCCAGGGTATACACCGAGGATATATGATATACTAGGCTAATAAATGCTGAAAATGCTTTAAAATGTGGAAAAACAACAATAACGAAGCACTCATTATTATTGGCAAATTTAGTTGCTGCAAATATATAGCTGATATTCATTTTTCTGTCACACAACATTACCGCTCAATAAGCCAAGATACGTAAGAATGATATTGTGACAGTCGCGTATTGAACAGATTTAACACTCTGAGTGAGTGAGTGCGTTTAGTTTTACGCCGCACCTAGTAATATTTCAGCTATATGGCTTCTTTCGTGTTACATGTAATGTGCAATTGTGGATGTTTTCTCCGTTTTACGTGTAATGTGCAATTGTGGATGTTTTCTCCGTTTTACATGTAATGTGCAATTGTGTATGTGTCCTCTCTGTTACATATAATGTGCAATTCTGGATGTGTCCTCCGTTTTACATGTAATGTGCAATTGTGTATGTGTCCTCTCTGTTACATATAATGTGCAATTCTGGATGTGTCCTCCGTTTTACATGTAATGTGCAATTGTGGATGTGTCCTCCGTTTTACATGTAATGTGCAATTGTGGATGTGTCCTCCGTTTTACATGTAATGTGCAATTGTGGATGTTTCTCCGTTTAACATGTAATGTGCAATTGTGGATGTGTCCTCCGTTTTACATGTAATGTGCAATTGTGGATGTGTCCTCCGTTTATCTTGTAATGTGCAATTGTGGCTGTCTTCTCCGTGCTACATGTACTGTGCAATTGTGGATGTTACCGTTGTGTTACATGTGTAATCTGTTACTGCGGATGTTTCCTCCTTTCTACATATGATATGCACATGTTGCTCTTTCCTTTGTGTTAATGTGTGATTGCAAATGTATCCTCTTTCTTAATTTGCAATTGAAACTGTTTCCTTCATGTCAATGAGCAGTTGTGAAATGTGCCTTCTGTGTCAGTTTTTAATTGCGGATGCGTCCTTGTTGAGTACAAGTGTCATCGGTGAACATGTACAGTCATGCAGGAAACAGTATGACAGGAAACTGGTCGGGGCCGATTTAAATCTTCCTGTTTTACACTTGCCAGGAAACTGACACATAGATGAGTGTGACGAGTCCACCATACACTGTAATATACAAACATGCAGTATACACATCTCTCGCTGAAGAGCACCTACAGCTTTGTGAACACTAGCAACGTTAATGTTAGTGGAGCTGTTCGTCACACAGGTGAGTGAGCATTAAACTTCAAACCATTCGTAATTCGTAGCTGATTTCCATGATCTGTGCAGTATCAGCTGACCATACATTCGTCCGTATTCTGACCAGGGGTCTGTTGGCACCATACCCCTGCGTGGGGGTTTCAACAAAGAGATGAACGTTAGCGATCTGCATCACTTGTGTCTCCTTCTTCACAGTAGACCCAAACGTCGAGACTCAACTGAAATATATGTGTTAATGCTTTATTATTACTATAGGTTTTAATGGCAGAAACCTATAGTAATAACACATCTGAAAAGGCAGAAATATCATCGCTTAATTTGATTTTAGTATCCTATTCATATTCGTCCATATATGCTGCTAAAATCTAATAAACCTCTCCAGTGAACATTCTGGTGAGAAGTGGTTCTCAGCACTCACGCAGAGGCTACAACCTGGATCGGGTGCTCAGACCCGCTGACTGTGGTTGATGGAAGTTATCGTATCCTAAGTGCGTAGATCGATGCTCATGATGTTAATCCCTGAGCTGTCTTAATCTGATTCTTTTACGTTAGGGCACGCAAAGCCACTAGGCAAAATGCGTCTGTAAACATACTGACAGGTGTCAGCCATCCGGATATACGAGAAAAAAATGCATATAATTTAGCGTTTTGTATGTGAAAATGACTGTCCAGTTACGGAAACCGGATTTCCGGACAAGTGAGTAAGTTTACAACGTTGTGAATTCGTTTTAAGGAATTTTCGTTCGGAAGGCGAGTTTTCCGGATATCTGAGGTTTCGGATAAATGGGGCACAACTGTATACACATTTGCATACCACCTTCCTACATCTGGAAAACTGAATGCGGCGTTGAATAACAAACAAATAGAAACAAAAATCAAGAGCACCATATTCCTTCACATCACAACAGTTAATCTGACATGACAATTAAATGAAGTGATATTTACTTCTTTAAGAATTATATGTTCAACTTCGGTATATATGTTGCATGTAAACATATGTGATAATACTCCATTCATACGGAATCATTTGCATCACAACTTAAAAACGTCATCGCTCCATTGCTGTAAATTAGGGCCTATCCCTTGTGTCTGCACTGTTTCAGATTCCATTGAATAATGGCGACTCAAACACAGGTTGTTGGCAAGTCAGGATTTGCTGACAACTGGCAAGCCGGGAAGACCCTTGCAGAATGTAATCTGCGCATGTTCAGTGCTGAAGATTCCTGTGACGTCACTTTTCAAGTCGGAAGTACGAGTCATGTGATCAAGGCTCACCGCTACGTGCTCATCAGCAGAAGCTGTGTGTTCCATTCCATGTTGTCTGGGTCCCGTTCGAAGAAGTCCGACATCATTGTCCCGGAAATAGAGTACCATCACTTCAAACAATTTCTTGTGTGAGTATATTGTGAAGAAAATTGGCTATTTCATTTTGGTGATCTTTGGGTACCAACCGTTAGTCATTGTTTACATCTTCTTTTTTGTTGTTGTTTGTATTTAAGATGTCAGTTGGTTATTTCAGTTCTATATTCATAGTTCTGATCTTTCACGAGATTCTAAACTATGCACTGACACATATATTTCGATGTGTCTTTTACATGTCGCTCCATGAAACATTTCATGTATCCAGCTGGAAAATATGACTGATATTATTCAAAACGGACAATTCTGCAACATAATAGCATAAAGGTAAAATATACCAGATGTTTGAAATCACTTAAACTGTCTCCTTTGAACTAAATGGAACCATACCGAAGATAGCATTTGACAGATATTCTGGGGTTTGATGGTGTGGTCATGAAATAGGCAGACAGAAAAGTTTCTGTCATTTGGTTTGCTTCCTCTTTGGCAGATACCTCTACACCGACAGCACGCACGTTGACGTTGACAATGCACCAGCTTTACTGTACATCTCCAGGAAGTACGCCATAAACACGTTAGAATCACGTTGCCTGGAATTCCTCGAGGAACACCTCTCAGCCGACAATGCCTGTATGATTCTAAAGGCGGCTCATCGTTTTGGCCAAAGTGAGTTGTACCAGAAAGCCTTGACTTTAGTAAAGGATGAGGGTGAAAGATCATTACAGTCCCCTGATTTTCTGGCACTGGGTCAATCGTTGGTGGACCAGATCGTGGAATCGGATGACCTCGTTGCTCGAGAGCATGTTGTCTTTAACGCCGTCAACAGTTGGGCAGAGGCCGAGTGTAGACGCAAAGGAAGGGAGGCAACTCCCGACGCCAAGAGATCACTTCTGGGTGGGACATTAATGAAAGTTCGTTTTCCGCTTTTAGAACATGCATTCCTAAGGGAAGAGGTGAAAACCAGCGGTCTTTTGACTGACTCCGAGCGTCTTAAGATATTCGATTACACAGCAAATTCAGCATCTGACTTCAAGCTGTTTAATACAAAACCGAGAGCAAGATATCACAAAACGCCCATACACTATGTCAAAAGACTGACATCAATGTATAAAGGGTATTCTTGGAAGTACAGTGGCAAACATGATGCCATAGCCTTCTATACCAACAGGAGGTTGATGTTAATTGGGTACCAGCTGTATGGTCCCTACAGCACTACTGGCGATTGTGTGTACAGTGTAACCTCCTTTCTTGGGAACGACGACACAGTCCTAAACTCCAAGATTCAGGACACCGTAGAGTATAAGGTTCGAGACCGCGTTTATGATGTGATGCTGGAGAACCCCATAACCATCACGGCGGGAGACTGGTACACTCTGGCAGTGAAGATAAAAGGACCCATCACACCCAGGGGAGATGGTGGAGCTGAACAGGTGGTGTGCGATGACGGAGTTCAGTTTAACTTCAGGAACTCCAATCACAGCAAAAATGGCACAAAGGCTTACATATGGACAGATACCATCTCTCATCTACCGCCTAGTGTAAAGCTACATTGTGACCTTTGACAACGGACTCAAAATGATTTTGTTGAATTTCGGTTTTGAACCACGACATAGTGTACTTTGATCGTGCTGTCACGGAACAAATTAACCAAGCATACTTTCATTGTTGGCATTGTGTGTATTTACGCTTACTTTAAAAATTACTCTGTCATTTATGTGTAAAGTGGCAAGAGTGTTATCAATGTGTGTTATAAGATCTCGTTACGTGTGAATATTAACTGATTAGATGGTCAACTATTACCTTCCTGAAGGCATGAGTGAACGAGCTTCACCCTGCCGAAAACGAAAATAAGTTCTCACACAAGCCTGCACATTCTGGTGCATTTTGGAGGCACATTAGTGGCTGATCAGTCAGTTTTATACCTAATCTGCAGGTACATGGTACCGGGGGCATATTATTCCCTGACATCTCCTGTGTTCAAGATTTGATACTAGAATGTTTGGACGAAGCTGGATACATTGTTATCATTTGCTTACATTATATAAGATCGTGTAGGGTTTGATAAATGATACCTGTCATATATAGTATGACCAGAAATTATAGAGAATTTTAGGAATATGTTTTATTGGATTTCTAGTATAAACAACCATGACCAGCTATCAAGTGATTGCTTTCATTCAAGAGAGACAACTCCGTTAATCCTTTTTCATTAGTTTGTGGGGGCGGTGGGGTAGCCTAGTGGTTAAAGCGTTGGCTCGTCACGCCGAAGACCCGGGTTCGATTCCCCACATGGGCACAATGTGTTAAGCCCATTTCTGGTGTCCCCCGCCGTGATATTGCTGGAATATTGCTAAAAGCGGCGTAAAACTAAACTAAGTCACCGACTATGAAACCTGAACAAAAGGAGGGAAGGTTGAACTGGTGCTTACAGCATAGAAATTTTAACTGATTTTCTCAGATGAAAGTTCTGTGTGGCTGCTTCCTAATACCCTGAAACAAACAAACTGAAAAACCTTTGTATCAGCGCCCAAAGTACAGTCCGAAATATAACGTGTGGGGTGGCATATCTGTGTTAGGGGCAACGCCCCTCTGTGTATTTGAAGGGAATATGAACAGTGAGCGGTACACAGATATTCTCGAGGGACATTTACTTCCATCTGCTCACGTGTTTTCCAGCAGGACAACGATCCAAAACATCGTTCAAAGCATTCACAGGCCTGGTTTCGGACCCAAATTATGACATATTAGATTGACCAAGCTATAGCCCTGACCTAAATCCAATAGAAAATGTTTGGGGACTTATGAAGGAAAGTGTCAATAAGAAACATCTGACAAATATTGCTGAAATGAAAGAAGAGGTGGTCCGATATTGGGACAGCATGGACCACGACTTTCTAACTTCTTTGATCAGTAGTATGCCCCGCCGCATTGAAGCCTGCATTGCTGCCCATGGTGACTTGACAAAATACTAACTGTTCACCTGTCTTTGAATCTGGAGTTATGTTCTGCTAATATTCACATTTAATACGTGAGTAATGAGTGAAAAAAATATAAAAAATTACAATGTTAGATTCTCAATAATTTCTGGTTGTACTGTAAGTCTTTGAGTACAATGTCATAAACAATACGACTCTCAAACACCACGTGAAATATTAATGCAAATAAAGTTAAACATTTAGTACTGAAATCGTAAATCTTTATTTTAATATGTGTTGTGGTTTAAATACAATTCTTGTGCTTGTAATTAAGATATTTTATTCTAATTTAGTTATTTGTTAGAAAACGTGTAATACAGAAACATATACAAGCAATAAATATATAAATAGGTACTCGCCTCCTGTTGATTACAAATGGATGTCATGTTTGCCACTCTGGTGTATTCATGTACAAAATAAGCATATTACCTGTGTATATTAGCTTACACAAATAACTAGATTATATCTACTTACGGAGTAGATATTCACCCCGAATATCAACTGAATGTCAGCTGAACGATTCGAATGCCCGAATGTCAACTGAACGATTCGAATCCCCGAATGTCAACTGAACGTTTCGAATCAAAGCATCAACCATCTGTAAGTGGTGGCTTAATTCAATGAAGGGGTACTTCTGTAAATGAATGTATAGTCTGAGAATGCAGTTTTGCAAATATCTTTTTGTTATTCGCTTCAATGTAAAAGTGTTTACATGTAACTGCATGTTTCTTCGTGACTTAACATAAACCTATTTTAATGTCAAAGTGATCGCCTATAACAATAAAATACACCTGACGAACATTACATTAAATGAACCCACACCTGGAATGAGTTGATCAAAACAATCACGAAACAATAATGATAGTTATACAGGTAACCTTTTTAATAGGCGATCACATTAAAAGATGACATTAAGGTTCCTGTTACGTCTCGGAGAAACAAGAAGGTACATGTAATCACTTTTTCATTGAAACGAATAACAAAAAACATTTACAAAGCATGCAGTCCCAAAAGTTGACAGACTATAAAAGCTTTCAGAACCTTGTTTTAAACTCATTAACAGTAACCATAAGGATTAAATGAATGCAATGCAATGTCTATATAATGTCGATTGTATGCTCCCGTGTCGTGTGAAGAAGCGATACTCATTTTAGTACGGCAGTTTATCTGGAGAAAATATTCTTGCTGTTGAGGAGCATCTGGGATTTAGAAAATGACACGAGAAAGTATTCTCCTTTCAAATGTATGATGAAGCATCACGATGATATTTTGTTGTTGCCATGGGTGATATTAATTGGGTACCACTGGCGACTGTGTGTACTCGTATCATGTATAGCGCGTTTCAACAGATTCAACCCGGAAGTGATCAAGTTGTGAGCGTGACTCGTAGACCCATCGATTCCAAAGTTTCGTAAAGATTTCGATTGGACACTTGGACGCCCTTGCATCGATTCATACGTTACAGTACGTTTGCGTTCCATTTCACGCAGTCATACGTATATTGTAAACTAGCCCCGCTACGGTGGACAGATAAGCAAACCCATTGCACTTTTATTTGTATTGTATTTATGTTTCACTAGCACATCTCACCCGTGCAATTGTCACGTGTATGCGTTCTGGTGATTGTTTCAGTTTGCCTTAGTTGCATTTCGACCACCGTAACAAGGGTAACATGTTAGGTTCACCACATTACGTCATAGTCATAATTTATGTATTGCTGTGTTTAACAGTTCTACATACATTAACGATTTAATTCATTTTGGCTATTTTCTCCCAATAGGCACGTCTTGTGTTGCTTATTATTTAGACGGGGTCTGATTCCAAACAAAATGACACGGGCACTGCTGGAATATTTATCTAAATGTTCATGAAAATTATTATTGCTATGTACCCTAATATAACCAAACCATATTATGAAGTCGCTGTGTAAATGTCAATGCAACTAAGCGTAACGAAATCCACTGTTCAGCGTGGATCTAGGATCCCCTTGGGCACTGACGTATCTGTATGATTATTAAACAGCAATATGATATTGTCCTTGTATATATCTCTGTTGATGTAAGTGTCTCATGAGTATATGCTAATACCAATACATGTTTCGAATAATATACAAAACAAACACAAAGATACAAGCCACAAAGCATTTAATTCAACATTACTATCATTGGACCTTGCACAACCAACACACGAACGTGATTCAAAGTTCAAACACATCCTGCTCCTGATGGTGATAACATTTCCGCAACAGACTTCCATACACTGTCCACATCACAATATTGTTCACAGTCCAACTTGGCCTTTGAGCTTCAGGCTATAAGCTGTTCACATGACCGTTGATAATATAAGTACTTTCAGGATTTCCACACAGGTCTATCGTTCTATAGCGCTTTTTCTTGCATGCAGAGTAACATGTTCTGTATTAATTAGTGGTAACGAACTACGGTGATGAGACACTGATGACGAACTAAAATTAACAGAAATCACTAAGGCGATGACGAACAAGACTTGGTGGTCCCTTGAGCTCGTTATAAACGTTATATATGTCGACCCGAACACTGGTACACTCCTCTGTCGTTCATTCCTCAGGAATAGTAGTCGCTGGACCTTTGGACGCTGGAAACCAAGATTTTATGCCCTTGTTCGGCACTGATTGTCAAAGGATACATTGTTCAGTGGACATCGCAACATTACGATTGGATCTATAATGTCGACTCTTACATCAATCAGCGGATGCACATGATAATATTCTGTCCCAGAATTCAGGATAGGTATCTACCTGTTCGTGTAACTTTTAATAGCTTTCTGTTTACATTTGCTCATAGGGTGATTACATTTGATGAAATGTACATATTACTGCAATGACATGCTGTTATGTTGAAAGAGCTGTATTTGTACAACGATTGCAGTTCAGGTTCAAGTAAGACAATATATGAGAGATGGTATCTGTCCCTGCGTTACACGTGTACCATTTATGATTTGATTGGAATTCCTGAAGTAGAACGTCACATTCTCCACGTCACATACCACCTGCTCACGCCCTCCTGTTCCACAACGCGTGTAATGTCCTTGTATCTCCACTTCCAAAGTGAACCACTGATTGGCACTGATGGCAACCGGCTTCTCCCACAACACATCAAACGTGTCGTCTTTAACCTCATATTTCTTGGCATCATGAATCATCGAGTTCGTATCTGTATCTTCGTTGCCCAAGTAGGACGTAACAGTGTAAAAAGACACACCAGATGGCGTATGGGGGCCATACAGTTGATAACCAAGCAGCATCACATCTTTGTTGGATGAGAAAGAAATACTATGTCTACTCGCATTGCGTACACAGGGCAATGTTTCTGTTCTGTATCTGTGGACATAGTACATGGGTAGTTTATCATATGCAGTTCTCTCTTTAGCATTAAATGGCTGGATGTCATTACTTGAATTGTCTCTGTAATCGAATATCTTAAGTCGCTCAGAGTCAGACAAGAGACCACTAGTTTTCACCTCACCCTCCAGAAACGTCGGCTTTAAAAGGGGAAATCTAACCTTTATTAAAGTTTCCCCAAGGATGGATTTCTTGGCATGAGGAGTTACCTCCCTTCCCTGACGTCCACACTCTGCTTCTGCCCAGCTGTTCACTGCATTGAAGACCACGTGTTCCCGTGCCGCAAGGTCATCCGACTCAACGATCTTATCCACGAATACTTGACTCAGCGCCAGAAATCCTGATGTCTGCAATGACGTTTCACCTTCGTTTTTCACTAAGGTCAAGGCCTCCTGGTACAATTGGATATCATCGAAACGATGAGCGGCCTCCAAGATCACACAGGCGTTGTCAACAGTAAGGTTGATCTTCAAGAAATTTAGACACTTTAACTCTAAGGCGGTGATGTCATACTTTCTGGATGCGTACAGAAGACCCGTGGCGTTGTCGGCGTCAATATCTGCGTTGTCGGTATAAAGGTATCTGGAAATAGACAGACATATTCAGGAAACGCATTGTAAAACAACGTCCACCTGACCATCACCATCACTTAGGCCTTGTATCAGACAAGATAACAATAGTCTGTGTACCTATAACTTTGAAGAAACTTAACAAACAATACCTAAATCTGATGAATAGTCGGATTGATAGGTCACAATCCATTAGGAAGGGTGTTTGCCATATGTTTGTTAATACAACTGTTAACTGTCAGTTTATCACGCTTACCCAAAAAAACTAAAAATGATGGCAAAATGTATTGACAGAAAGCAATTCAATACAGGCAATTACTGAGTTCCAATATTACCACTGTGTGGACAAGTATAGTATGACCAGAAATTATTGAGAATTTTAGGAATTTGTTTTTTATTGGATTTCTAGTATAAACAACCTTGACCAGCTATCAAGTGCTTGGTTTCATTTAAGAGAGACAACTCCGTTAATCCTTTTTCATTAGTTTGTGAAGAGTTATCCCCCTTTGTTTACTTGCTAGCAGACGACATTTTCAGTGACCCTCAGTATGGATGATTTAGAGAAGAAGAAGTTGATTTTAGAGTATTATAACAAGGACATCAGATCAGCTAAAGTGATTTCAAGTAGAACAGGCATCCCTTTGTCCACTGTTTATCGTGTTTTGAAAAATATTGCAAATGGATATGGCACTGAGCACCAGGGAGGCGCAAGTAGGCCCAGAAAATTGACTGTCGGTGACAGGAGGCGGCTTGGTATTCTTGTTTCTAAAACCAAACGAAGGAGTTTAGAAAACTAAAGGCTGGATATGGTTGATAGAGGAACTGTGGCTGTCTGTAAGGAGACAATTAGAACTGAGCTGCATGCAACGGGTTGTTTTTATCAGTTCATTGTATGCAGAAGGGATGAGATATCCCTGTCCCTTTTGATTGAGGGCTTCTGTCTCCGGATTTGAACTGCTTCTGCAAGATTTCTTTTGGTGAAGTCCTGGTAGCATACAGTGAACTGATAAAAACAACAGATTAGAGCACTCCAGCTATCATTGCTAATTAATCTCATCAGCCATGTATATTTTGTTTCTGCCTCTTGGACCATTGGCTTCCTCCTATTGTCACCACATTATTACCACCTTGCCTTGTTGTTGTTGTTAATCCCTTGATTCATACCTACATGTTGTTATTACTTAATCCCTGTTCATGTATATAAGTCTGTTCTGTGGTGTAGTACTTCACTCTTGCTTGACAACGGTATAAGAATCCATATCGAAACGTCTCATCATATATAATAAAAGAAGTTGTTATCCATAAACAATCTTACTTTCTTACTAGTCACCAACTTCTAAATGCCAATCAAACAGAAAATACTAACTGTTCACCTGTCTTTGAATCTGAAGTTATGGTGTTCTGCTAATATTCACATTTAATACGTGAGTAATGAGTGAAAATAATAAAAAAAAATTACAATCTTTAAATTCTCAATAATTTCTGGTTGTACTGTAATAATGTCGCATTAAAACTTACAACAGAAACTGCCTGAAGTGAGTCGGCTCTATTTCCAGAACACTGACGTCGGATTTCTCCGCCAGGGGGGCCAGTAAACATGGCGTGGAACACACAACTTCTGCTAATGAGCACATAACGGTGGGCCTTGATCACATCACCAGAACTTCCCACTCTGAAAGTGACGTCACACGAATCTTCCGCATGGAACATGCGCAGATTACATTCAGCCAGGGTCTTCCCAGCTTGCCAGTTGTCAACAAACCCAGTTGGTTGGGTGCTTGCAGCAGCCATTCTTATGGCAAATCTGCAACCATAAATATCAAGATATATTAAACAGGAATCCAATGGCTAATACAGGTAGATGGATGAGCATCGACAACACGTGGTGATTGTCAGCTGAATTCATGTCACTAAAGGGTATGTACAAGGTTAGGGAGTAACATAACATGTCCATGTGCCATATAAACAGAATTATATTTCTTGTACGGACGTTTGAGGAAATATTAATCAATATTAATACTTGAGGATGTTGGAAGGGTTTTGTTGCTGTTATTCATTTCTGTTTACGACGGTGGCCTTTGTTACACGACTACAATACGAAATACATTAACTTCACACAAACAAATAAACAAAGCACTAAAATGGATGGCTATTTCTGTATCATGGCAAGTTACAAATTCTTCATAAACCCAGAAATGCACAAATATAAAATGACAGAAATGTTCATCATACAAAAGGTGGACGAGTAAATATGTTTGTAGTTGACTTGCATGGTTTATCCATGCCAGTACACATGGTTGACTTTATTGTATTCAAATGCATTATAAAATATAATCTTGTGCTGTTGGCTGTACTCCTTTACATTATCTCTGCATTGCGTTTGCAAAATATAATATTATTTTGATATATGTTGTCAAAACACGTCACAGATGTGCTTAACTGGAGTATAAATCAGGATTGGTCACCAACTTCACACTGAACAGACATATCTGGGAAACTTCTGATCAAGTACAACGATATTGTTTATTATAACAGTTAGAGTTTGTTAGACACCTTGCCGTCCTAACTGTACGAGCTCTTATTGCTAGTGTAGTATTCGGTAATGCTAGAAAGGATATATACAACGTCTCTTTAAGGGATTACAACGATTTGGGCAGATTCTATGTTGTCTGAAGGACAAAGGAGATATAAAATCTATAGGGTTGGCACACTGAAAATCAGTGATGACACCAGGCTTAAGCCCGTCCACTGATGCTCCGAAATCGACTGTTTATATATGTCACGCACTTGCGTACTGGACTTTAAATTGTGTAATTTTAAATCGTTACTTCCAAGGTGAAGTAAGCCCGTCCTCTAATGCTCTGAAATTAGGCCTGTGTATTGACAATTAAACTGTATTGCAATATATTGCTATTCCTGATATCCGTGTTGCGATACGTATTGCGATATATTGGGAACTCAAGATTTTGACAGTGAGTGACACTAATTGTGCATGTCAATCCTATCTTCTACATTATATGTCCCTAAACATATATGTTGTGGTTCAGCAATCTCAAAATGAGGTTGCACAATCAGGGATTATCTTTTTATACAATTTATTGTATCACAGTTGCCGTTTTGTCATTGAATAACGAAGGAAATCATTAGATGTGACTGAAATTCTGTGTGGACTTTAATTTAAACCATAAAGCTAATCACAAAAACTTCATTTTTGTTCTTTGATCAGTATACCAGTTCTCAGAAAAAATATTGCAATACGTATCGTTTGAAAAACGTATCGCGATATACCGATAATACCGTGCTGTCCTATCTGAAATCGACTGTTTAAATATGTGTGACAACATACATTATCTTCACTGTTAACTAACAGAGGAGTAAAAGATGTTTCATCATATGTCCGTTTGCACATTACATGGTCTCTTTAAAATGTACACCCGAAATTTAAAGCCCACGCGAGTATTACGAGTCATGTCTAGCTGGTCAAGCAATACACCTACATGTATATACCATGGTCGATGCCATTTTCAAATCAGTTTTAACATCACAGAACCTCTCCACCTACCCATTGTGATAACATGAGTTAAATGATAGATGACAAATAATACATATCAAATCCATGGGAGTTGCATATCAGCTTCATGAAAAAAATATTCTATATTCTTTGCATTTTATGAAGGTACAAACGCAAAAGACGGTGTTCACGCTGGGTAAATCAGCACCATTTCTCTAGCTCCCGTCCCCCTAGCCCAAGGTTGTTACAAGCCACTAATTAGTACCTCTACCCCCTCGCGGGGCGGTGGGGTAGCCTTGTGGTTAAAGTGTTGGCTCGTCACGCTAAAGACCCGGGTTCGATTCCCCACAAGGGCACAATGTGTGAAGCCCATTTCTGGTGTCCCCCGCCGTGATATTGCTGGAATATTTCTAAAAGCGGCGTAAAACTAAACTCAGTTAGTCAGTCTAGCCCCTCGCCTGGCTGTTCCGTTAGCTGTACTCACTCCCCTGTAACTGGAGTAACTGCTATTAAGCTCGTTAGCTAGGTTGTGAATAGGTGACTACCAGTACTTAGGGAGATAATAGAGAATCATGGATCACTGATCAGGAGGAAATGTTCATTAAGCAGCTGATGGTTGTGAGAAGGAAACGCTGAGGAGGAGAAGGTTGTTGTTTTAACTATTTCGGGGTGAGAAGTTTTGGAGTGTTGAAGTAGGACAGATTGCTCTTATACAATAGCCATGCCACCAGAAATCCAGTATGATTCTGTAACATGGTGAGAAAGTGGAGATTGTCGAAGGTGCCGTAGGTGTCGGTAAATCGCCATAGATGTTACTTGCACTGCAATCGGAAGGAAATGTTCAGTTTTTAAAAGAAATAACTCAAGTGTGTAAATTATTTTTTAAACGGTGGAATGATAATGTGTGAAATATAAAGAGAAATAGGTAAAAAATCAATAATTGAAGTTTTGATTCATGTTTGTTTAGGGTAATATGAAACTTCAAAGTGCGACGCGATTCTCTTACTTAGGAATACCTAGAACTCGCCTACATGTGATGACACCGATCACCTGTCTCAGTGGAAAGGTACCGCCTGTGGCGGCGATAGTTTTGGGAGAGCGCGATAAAAGGCTTACGACATGCCGTTAGCTAGGCTGGTTGTGTATGGCGGAAGGGAGATAACTCCAACACTGTATGACTCACTGTGTTGATGATGATTCAGCAAAGTCTTTACAAATAACACGGTTGTTATCTTGTGTAGCAGCAGATAGGTGGATTATAGATTATAATGAGCTATCATATTACTGGCCAACTGAACACTGTATGTGCCATCTTTTGTCAGGTGATGCCTCCTGCTCATATTCACTGATTCACAGCCTGGTAACAAGAAAGACTGGATCCAAAGGATCGCCCATCTGGATACGCGGGCGCGTGCTGGTCTAACACATGGCGATCGCCTGCTCGCGCTTGACCACGCCTGTCCTTAAACCTGACACATGGCAAGCGTACATTCAAACTCACCTCAAGATGGACAATCTGCTTGTACAGTCTGGGACGTTGACCGCGCTTACTTTACTTCCTGGTATGCAGCAGCGACAGCGCTTCTCAGTCGATACCCGACTGAGTAGCTATATATAGCAGCGCATAACAAGTGGAAACGTGAAAAAACCGGAATGTTAGTTATTTTCATGCTTATTAATTTGAACTTGTCCGAAGTAACGTGAGAGATTACAAACACATTCTCACAATTCAATCGAGAATATTTGTTCAGTCCGCTTGTCATTCATTCTACATGATGATATGCATAAGGTGTCAGAATTTGTAACAATCATTCGTCGATAAATGAAATACAATCCTTGAGTATGTTTTCAATGTCCAGTGCCTTGGCAATATATTTTCTATATGTTTAGATTAGTTCTCTCTGCAAACAAAATCAATGAAACTCCCCAACGAATTTACAGTTATGTGATGAATGATCGATAACACACTTAAGACGCACTATTCACTGATTACAGGTATCAGTGATGGAATTGTATGTTTCACCAGTGGCGTCGTATATGGTACCTAGTGTACTTGTCAGGGGACTACATTAACACAAGCTACAGGCTACAGGTTTCTGAAATTCGACATTTAACAATACACAGTACCAGATAAATAGTAAGACTAAAAGTTGATATAAAAGAAAAGGTTATACGTTCTCTCTTTCTCTCTCTCTCTCTCTCTCTGTCTCTCTCTCTCTCTCTCTCTCTCTCTCTCTCTCTCTCTCTCTCTCTCTCTGTCTCTCTCTGTCTCTCTCTATTAAAAAAGAAATATATATTTAGTCTTACTATTTGTCTGGTAATGTGCAATGTTAAATCATGTCAGAATATATACTGTGCATATATTGATGTTGCTTTTCAAAGTATTACACATACGAGATTTGGAGTTTGACATTCTGAACTACACAATATGAATATACTATCACTCGCTAATTTTAAAGGTTGTCAAGCGGTATGAGAACAGTATCTCACCTTTCGAATAACAACAGTTTACCACCTTTCTGATAATAACAGCTTATCGCCTTCCTGATAATAAGAGTACACAACCATTCTGATTACAGTATACCACTTTTGTGATAACAGTATATCACCTTTCTGATAACAACAGCATAACATCTTTCTGATAAAAACAGTTTACCACCTGTCTGATAACAACAGGTTGCCATATATCTGATAATAACAGTATACGACCTTTCTGATAGAAAGTTACACCTTTCTGATAACATCAGTATATACCACCTTTCTCATACAGCGTATCGTCTTTCTGATAATAACAGTATACAACCAATCTGATAATAACAGTATACCACCTTTCCCGTAACAGTATACCACCTTTCTGACAATAACAATGTATCGCCTTTCTAATAATAACTGGGGCGGTTGGGTAGCCCAGTGGTTAAGACGTCCGCTGGTCACGCCGAAGACCCGGGTTCGATTCACCACATGGGTACAATGTATGAAGCCCATTTCTGGTGTCCCCTGTCGTGATATTGCTGGAATATTGCTAAAAGCGGCGTAAAACCATACTCACTCTGAGAATAACAGCGTATCAACTATCGGATGATAACAGCGAACCACCATTCTGATAATACAAACAGATCGATCTACCAAATTCGGATACGATGGCATGTGTCAACCAAGTCAGCGATCCTGACCACCCGATCCCGTTAGTCGCCTCTTACGACAAGCATGGGTTACTGAAGATCAATTCTAACCCGGATCTTCACGGGCGCTTCAACAGAAATCGACCACCAAACGTATTTACGTGGGGAAATATTCACTTATTCAACACGTTGAACAATGATATTTTCAAGACCATGAAATAGTTCCAGTAAAGTCCAATTTTACTGGCGCTTCTCAAAAGAATTGCGGTTATGCAGGGTATAAGCCAAGGGTATATGACATGCTTGGTTATTGATAATGAAATATAAATAGTCACATTAGTGCCACTACGCGACGTCATATTTGTGAGTGTTCTCCTTCGATACATGCACAAAAAAACAGTAGTCATTATGACTACTAAACAAAGAATTATAATCCTAATTTGGTTACTTTTGTAAGGCTGACCATACCGAGTAAATTTACAATACACATAGCATGAATATGTCTGCGACGGTGTAACTCTATCAGATGTGTACAAACGACAAACACAAATCATTTAACGTGATTTAGCAATTTGATTTATTTGATTAACTAACGTGTACACTGGAAACTGCGTCCATCAAACAAGTTCACTTGTACACATATTAATATAATGTTTATTGTACGGAACGTTTGGAACTATTTTGTATCACTTTTGAGCAAGTAACTGGGTAGAGCGTCACACAAAGTATATTCGTGGGCAATATCGAAAGAAACCAGCTCTCGAAGCTATCTTAGATAATGATTTCAGTGTTGCTATATTTTGAAATCTCTTCAGCCGAACAATAATGATTTCCCATTGTGGCATACATTCTTTTTTTCCGGTGCCGCTGTGCCGGTGTCCTCCCATTTGTGAGAACTCCCAGTTGTGAGACACATTAATTAATGGTTCAGTGCACATAGGTGATGTTTCCACATCCCCACAATGAAAGTGGGATCAGCCAGGTTGTTGAAGAGTACCCACAGGAGGCATAGTTCATTGATGAGTTGATTAATGAAATAGATTATCAAAGATTTTATTTACAAAGAAGAAATAGTTCATTAAATATTTTATTTATTAAGAAGAATATTTAATTATGATAACACATTTTTATTGACTATTATGAAGTTTGAAAGTCATTTTGGTTTAAACATATTTTATTAGCATTATCAAAGTGTTTATTTTTTAAGGACATTTACTGGAGTATGTTAATCAATTTATCTTATAAAGTTTCATTAAGACTTCCACAAGATTCAGTTACATAGCAAATCAGTAATTAGCTAGGGTTAATCCATTCTATCAGACAGGGGAGTATGGTGTGTTTTCTTTGTTAATTACCTACTCCACTGTCTCATAACTGGGAGTCTCACAACTGGGAGTTCTCACAAATGGGAGTAGACCTACATAACCTATCTTATGTATGTTTTGGGATTGTATCGCGGGGTGTGCATATTCCCGCCCGGTATCATCTGTACCAAATTCAAGGGAATTTACGTTCAGTGGATAGTTAAATTCAAAGTGAATTGCCACGCAGAAACCTATTTGGCACAATAAGGATTTCAGTAATGTCTGATTCAGCAGGTTAGAATTTGACTTTTGTAAATGGGAAATACACCAAGAAACGCAAATGTGTTGTCACAAATATTGTTAACTTTATGCATTAGTTAGTGAAATGTATAGAAATGAAATAGCTGATATACGTGCAAGCTGTGGAATATCTCGAGGCGTTCCCGTACAATGTTCTATTTTTAGATTTATTTACGTATGAGTCTTGCCAAGATAAATGGCAACGGGAAACATGCCTTTGAAAAGTAGTCTCGTCCTTCTCCGATTTCCTGCAGTTTTGATAGTCGATAAAGAACATATTATTTTTGAAAATAGGATATCACACACCTTGCAATTGAATAAAAATAAAAATTACAAAATACACACGTAACAACCTATAACATAAGAATGTGAATGTTGGTTTGAAAATGCGCTATAAAAGATGCTTCATTTCATTTCAGGGTGTTCACTATTTGCCTCCGACATAGAGGCAGAAGAATATGGATTAACTTATATGCGACTGTGTTAATATGTTATTGGTGGGTTAAAAGCTATGTAAGCGTCGTTCTCTCATGAGATCCGATCAATAGAAAACACCCGTGCACGGTGGTAAATTAAATTATGTCTGTAACTTGTAACTTAAAATAGCTGTGGGAGAAACAACCCACACGACAAAATAACGATTTGATGAATATTTTAATTCAAATCATACTAAATGACCACGCTAGGTCTGGAAAAATATGAAATACCAAACCTGAGGTGAACGAGCAATTAAAGAGTATTTACATCAAACAACATATATTCAGGCCTATTTCTCACTCCTAGCTTGACCATGACATGTCTAAAATGAAATCACTACATCGCTGATCTACTCATTCTTATAAGGCCATTTCTCAATGTACTTTGCACCAAAAGTTCCTTCATATTTTCCCGACCTTATGTTCACAGTGACCTTAACTTGGCTCACATCAACCTTATCTGCAGAAGCACTTAACTTGCATTAGTACTTTCTAATCGTTTTACTTTTCTGCAGAAACATTAAACACCTTTCTAGCTGAATGTTTTAAAGTGAGAAGCGGCTCGAGCGACCTGATTTCATTGGTACCATTATATTTTTCCCACATAATATCTAATTGTAATAATAAAAGCTTCATCAGATCCCAAAAGTGCTGGGTGTAATGGAGAAAACTCCAGCGTACACTCTATTTAGAAAGCGGCAACATTAAATAGGTTGTAAAGAATGTAACCTATATACGAAACAAACTTTCAAATATTTTGATAACTCCTGTAAATAAATATCTATAACTAGCTGTTCCATGAGTGCTAATGTTCATGCAGTACGATATAGGAGAGATGGAATCTGTCCTCTACTGACGCTGGTGTTATTCTCACTGTGTGTGGAGTTTCTGAAGGTATAACTAACACCGTCAGGACATGACAACTCTTTCTTTCCATGTTGTCCCCCTAACGTTCTCATGCCGTCTATCAGAACTACCAGAGTGTACCACTTTCCCGCTGTCATGTCGACAGGCTCCTCAAACACCACATCAAACTCTTTACTGTTGACTGTGTACTGGACCCTATCCTGAATCATGTTCTGGAGAACATTTTCCTCGTTTCCAAAGTAGGTGGTGATATAGTAGGTAGTTGTTTCGTGCCTCCTTTCAGGGCCATACAGTCTGTATCCACAGAGTATCAAGTTTTGGTTGCTTTGGAAGGAAATTGCGTCTTTCCTGTGCCCACTTGTTTTCCACCCAATTCTGTTTTCGGTTTTAAACCTTGTTATGGAGTGTGTTGTAGAATGCGGAATATTTTGCTTTCTTTGCTTGGTGTTAAAGGGTTTCACATCATTGTCAGGGCACCCTATATACTCCAGGATCCTGAGACGCTCCGGCTCAGTCAAAAGACCACTGGATTTAACGTCCTTGGACAGGAACGTTTGATTAATAAGAGGAAATCTAATTTTCAGGAAAGTATCTCCAAGTATTGTTCGTTTGGCTTCGGGAGTTACCTCCCTTCCCTGGCGTTCACACTCTGCCTCTGCCCAGCTGTTGACAGCATTAAAGACTACATGTTCCTCCACTATCATATCATCTGACTCCACGATCTGATCCACCAACACTTGGCTCAGTGCCAGGAAACCAGAGGACTGTAGTGACCCCTCAGCTGTATTTTGTATGGAGACCAAAGGCCCTCTGGAACAACTGGCTTTCATCAAAACGATGGGCAGATTCTAAAATCACACAGGCATTGTCAACGTTGAGGTTTTCTTCCAGGAACTCCGTACATTGAGATTCCAAGGAGGTGATGTCATATTTCCTGGAGGCGTACAGTAGAGCTGTTACGTTGTCAGCATCAACAGTTGTGTTGTCCGTGTAAAGGTATCTGAGGAAGATGTTAAAAGACAAAATAAAAACCATTCCCCTGATACGGACAGGGGCTTTGAGCAAGGGGTAGCCAGCAGCCTGGACTGCGCTTAGAACCTTCTTCTCGCTGCCCCACGCAGTAATATTAGACGGTGAAAATAGCGACCGAGAGAGAACGGATGACGGATTACGTACAGGATATGACCTGTACGTAAAGTATGACATTATAGAAAAGGAATCAGAAACTGAATATTATACATTAGTGAGTGAGTGAGTTTAGTTTTACGCCACACTCACCACTATTCCAGCTATATGGCGGCGGTCTGGAAATAATCGAGTATGGACCAGCCAACCAGTGATCAACATTATGAGCATCGATCTGCGCAATTGGGAACCGATGACATGTGACAACCAAGTCAGCGAGCCTCACCACCCGATCCCGTTAGTCGCCTCTTACGACAAGCATGGGTTACTGAAGATCAGTATTCTAACCCGGCCCTTCACGGGTCACATTATACATTAAATTTAATATTGTGTTAATATGTCGTGATTAAAACCTACAATAGAAACTGTTTGAAATCGTTGGGTTCCATTTCCGGAACACTGACATCGGATTTCTCCGCCAGGTCGCCAGTAAACATGGCGTGGAACACACAACTTCTGCTGATGAGGACGTAGCGGTGGGCCTTGATCACGTGACCCGAACTTCCCACTCTGAAAGTGACGTCACACGAATCTTCCGCCTCGAACATGCGCAGATTACATTCAGCAAGGGTCTTCCCAGTTTGCCAGTTGTCAACAAAACCCGTTGATTGAATGTCTGAAGCCGCCATTCTTGTGGTAAATCTGGAACGATATGTCCCAAAATTACAACTTGAAGATAGTTATATCAAACACGCGTTATGAAGCTAACACAGGTAGATGGGAGGAATCTAGGTAGGCGAGCACTGCCAGCGCGACCATGAAAGGGTGTGTATAGGCATCGTCAACAATAGACATATAATGTGTTCCCAAATGTCTATATATGTCCCATATAACATACAGTCGAGCACCGTTGTGTCGAACTCTGATAACTCGATATCTCGGTTGTCTCGATATAACATCTCGGTCCCGGCAAATTCATCATAATTTATCATTATTCAAGCTATTTTAACTCGATACGGATGTCTCGATACTTCGGATATCTCGATATAATGTCATGGTCCCGACAAGCAAAATTACCCTTTTAACTCGATATTTGCAAAGAAATGCGATATTCACCTACCTTTCATGGGCAAGCATCCCTCTGAACTGAGGGAAGTACTGATCACTGTTACGACTAAACACTACTGATAACGGATTGTAGTTTCGAATCAAACATACTGAGAATCGTTTTGTTTTCTTTCATAGTGATAGGTGATGATATACCCTGGTCGGATGTCTCGAAGTTCGGATAACTCGATATTTTATTTTGGTCCCATGAATATCGAGGCAACGGTGCTCGACTGTATGTGTATAACTGAAGGGCGATAAAGTTCCTCTTTCTTTTTCCGAAGCAGGCCTTTGTGATAAGACAAAACTAAACTAAATGTACTACATCAACTTAGGAAAAACACTAAGTTATTACCTTAGGCTAATATTTCCCAAGATCGACTTGATGGTCTCAACATAGCCGTGAGGTGGGCATAGGCGTTGCAGAATCTCGCATGGCCAATCACATCCGTAAAATTGGTACGATGGATTTCCTGCTCTGTGCAATCGCATGATGCTGTGTTTGGGTGGCCTTAGTTTCCTTTTCATTATACGGTGAATATTTCTGCTCCTTTCGGCATACGCTTAGAAATACATGACTGCTTGACGTTTTGAGAGGACCACTTTTTGTCAAAATTGTCCAGGGAAGTGAAACAAACAGTTACAGAAAGGATACACTATTAAAACACATAATTTCTTTCAGAAGACACGAATCTACGATCCTCTAATACTGTTACTGCAAATATATTGACCTGTTTATTTCATATTCAGCTGGCCGGATCAATAGACAATGGTATCCCGACATGTTCCATGTTGCGCGAAGGACAAAATATCTTTGAAAACCATATGAATGGAACACAAGCCACTCACACAAGAAAAGGAAACTAAAGAAGTAATCAAATATCGCCTGACGCAGTAATTCTGCCATTTGACGCGACGTAATGTAAACAGACAATCTACTGACCGATATACCTAAACCTACCCTGGTGTGTTTACTGATTGTGTTAAAAAGAGGCATAAAACGTTATGTAGATGTAGAATTGCGTCTGCTATGTACGTTTGCTGCATATAATAAACATAAAGAAGAACGCTGCATATGATATACGTAAAGAAAGATGCCCGGTCTCGTCACATCTAAAATCATCTTCAGGTCTGTTACAAACTAACAGATGGATCGACTTGATGTTACGCACTTGCGTAATCGTCAGTGACCTCAAATTGCGTATTGTTAGGTCGTTACTTCCAATACGTATAAGCCAGTATCTGACGATCTAAACTAGACACTTATGCCAAATGTAAGCCCGTCCACTGATGATCTGAAATCGTCTTCGTAAATAAGTTACGCACTTGCATACTCGTCGCAGACCTTAAATTGCGTCTTGTTACGTCGTTACTATGTATAAGCCAGTCATCTGTCGATCGAAACTAGACATCAGCAGCAATTTAAATTGCATTTTCATTTAACAGAGGAGCAAAACATTCTTCACCATATGTTTGTTTGCATTGTACTTGGTCATTTTAAAATGGTTACCTGAAAGTCTACACCAGTATTATAAGAAATGTGTAGCTGGTCAAGCCATATATCAACTTATCATGGCTGAGGAAGTCTGTTCATATTTGCATTTCAAATACGTTTCTACATTGTATGAAACGATAAAACATTCCGTTTCATTGTATGATATTGCCCGCCAAATAGCTTGAATATTGCTTAGTGCAGCGATAAATAGAAAATCAATGGATGATATAGTTTTATATATATATACATACATACATACATACATACATACATACACATACATACATACATACATACATACATACATACATACATACATACATACATACATACATACATACATACATATATATATACATATATATACATATATATACATATATATGATAATTTTCAGCCGTAAATCGAGAGGTTAAATAATATAGTTTTATGAATTGAAAACAAAATATGTATATCTTAAAAGGTTGTCAAATGTAGCAATTGAGAGGGTCAGTGACGTACTTGAAACTTCACTGTAAAACATATAGTTCGAGATTTTAGACTAACAGAATAGCCTAACAGCCTAATAGCCTTCACCTAACAAGTATGATGTCACTGAATAAGCAACGCACCAAACAGGACAATACTAAGGTCATTTCAATTCCACGGAAGGCGATTTCGTATCGGGTGTAACAACATGAAACTTCAAAGTATAACGCGATTCTCCTACTTGGGAATACATTCGCCTACATGCTGTGACATCGATCGCCTGTCACCTGTGACGGCGATAGTGTTGGGAGAGCGCGGCAAACGGGTTACGACATGCCGTGAAGTAGGCTGGTTGTGAATGACGGAAGGGAGGTAACTCTAACATTATATGCCTCACTGACTTGGGTCGTTTATCGAGTCAGGTTGTTATTTTATACAACAGCAAAGCGTCCACTTATAAATATGACATCGAATCATGTTACTGACCAACCGATCGCTGTATATACCATCTTGTGTCAGATCATGTTACCTTCTCATATCCGTTGATTCACGGCATGGTAACAAGTAAGACTGTGTCACAAGGGCCGACCTTCTGGATTCGCCGACGTGTGCTGGTCTAATATATAGCGACAACCTGTGTCTCACCTTACTTAGACACACGGCAAGCGAATGTTTGTTGGGTAACTTAACTCACCTGAAGAGGAGTAGACAATCTGCTTGTACAGTCTGGGATGTTGACAGCGTTTACTTCACTTCCTGGTATCTATATGATACTGGGAGACTATATAATGTTGTATGTTGTATGATATATGTTGTAGAATATCCCTGCTGGTATGCAGCAACAACAGTAGCTAAATATAGCAGCGGATAATAAGTAGAAACGTGAAAATGAAACGGAATATTAGTCATTTTCCTGCTGTTTAATTTGAAGTTTTCCGAAGTAGCGTGAGTTTACAAACACATTCTCACAAAACTGTCGAAAATATATATGTTCAGTCCGTTTGTCATTCTTTCAACATGATCAGATTCATGTGAGAAACGAAAGGTTTCACAATTTGTGGCTTTCATTCGTCGATAAATGAACTGCAAACTTTGAATATGTATCCAACGTCCAATGCCATGCCATGCCATTTTATAGTCTATAAAGGTCTTTCCGCAACCAAGGCCAAAGAAGATCCCCGGCGGATATAGCTTTTTGAGAAAGGGGTGAGTGCACTCTTGAAAAAAGGGGTGCACACTTCATTTTCACGGGTGTTGTCATAACCTTATAGGACAAAGGGGGCTGGGGTATTTTTTATTTTATTTTATTATTTTTGTTTTGGGTGGTGGTGGTGCTGTGTGTGTGTGTGTGTGTGGTTGTGTGTGTGTGTGTGGGGTATGTTAGTGTATCGATAATGCATTTAAGATGCACTATTAATCGATTACAGGTAAGGTATCAGTGATTCTATCAATGGTGCCGTATTTGCTACCTCGTATTTTGTCCACGGTAATTCTGTTCAGGGGGATTAGAAAGTCTGCAATTTTCTAAAACCAACAACTTAACATTGCACATTACCAGTAAAACTAAGCATTAATTTTTTTTTTCAAAAATATACTATATATAAACAGTCTATATAGAAAATCGGTGTTTGTTTTCACAGTATGCGAGTTTGAAATTCTGAAACTACACAATTTGAATGTACTCATACTTTCTTAAACCTGTAAAGCGTGTTAATGAATGAGATAGTGTTTGCTCAAGTGTTCAGACGTTCAAGAAAGTCTATGTACACATGGCACCAGCACCGATCATCCGTGTGTACGTCATTATTGGACACCTTATCACGATATATATGTACAGTTTACTACTCATGTGAGTGCACCATTCTAACGCTGCAACGAGGTCAATTCTGTACAACTACGTTTATGGTACAAATTTAGAACTACTGTGGTATGACAACAGTGTACCACTAATATGACCCCGATAATATACAGCTACTCTGATGGCAACATAGTACAATGCTGTGATGGCAGCAATATTCCTCAGACACCTTCATCCTAACAGAATCCATTTGAAAAATTATGCTTTACTGAAGATGCTTAAACTTAGACTTGACAGGGACTCTAATTTTAAGAAGTTATACTTGAGAGTATCTGCATGAAATCATATATGATACGTCTTGTCAGTCCATTTGTTTGTTTCAGTGTAGATTTGAAACTGTTGTCAACGGACTCAACCAGCCTTTTAACACATGTTTTGCCTTTTACGCCCAATGAGTCGAACAATCGGGGCTGGGTATTCTCTGGATGGATATTTAATAAATCTGAGAGATTCACCGAAGCTTTGTTGCGTTATAATTGGAGTGAGTGAGTTTTAATATCGCCGGTTAAAACAATATTCCACTTATGTCACGTCGTGTAAGCTGAAACTGGTAAAACCCGATGTGATGCAAGTCTAAGACCTTTACCACTTTTGAGATACAGACGAGCACATCCCAAAACTTCCACATCCCAATACTACCACACATTGTTAAAACAACAACTCATCATCACCCCTTTTTAGGTAATAGGATAGCCCGGGAAGTGCATTGAACTGAAACAACGATAAGGATACTTCACCTGACTTAGCAGAGTAGAGATTTTAGTAGAGAAGAGAGCAGTTAGTTAATAAATCTGAAATGTGTATACTATAAAATCGTGCATATTTCATGTAAGCAAAAATTGTAAATTTTGCTTTCTTGTTTTACCTTGAAATGTTGTTGATTAAGTTCATAGTATTGTGAATATACAAAACATAACTTTTGCAAGCTTAACGTTAATGAGTTTTGAAATTTTATGTTTATTGCTTAAAAAGGGGCTAACAAGCTAAACAATTCCTTTTAATTCTGATTTGCAAATATAAAGTAATATGAAGCAGAAGATTCAAAATGAGAATATGAATTGTATTATGCTTACTTGAAGCTCTACTACCATACTTGCACTACCAAATCTAGGCATAAACACATAAATCAATTGAATTAAATAAAGAAATTGATGTTATGGTATGGACATTGGCATTAATTGTTATGGTAGTGACACAATAACGGTAGTGACATTTTTAATAATAGCCAGTTTTATATGTTTACTTTAAAAGATAGTTTAATGGAATTTGTCAGTCAGATATTTCAGAATGTTTAAAGAAAATGTCATAGGCAAAAGATTTACTTATGGATGCCCCTGTCATGTAAAAAACAGGTAAAGACTGCATGTTACGGCAGTGACACTATGACGGTATAGAATGTCACCACTGTAACGGCCCTATCACAGCTGTGTTCTTCATCGCCAGACTCTTCTCTGTATTCATTACTGATTAATCGATTAAACCATTACAGACTGAGGTAATCAGTATGCTAAAGTGTGTGCAGTCAACCAGAAATGTTGTTATAAGGGGTGGAAGTTTTGGGATGTGGAAATTTTGGGAGGATACCCAAGGGACACAACTGTACAAAGCAAAATACGAGGTTCCAGACGAGTGGTATGTCAATGGGTTAGCAACTTGAAGTGGGGTTACTCTGAACTAGTGCAAGCAGCAACCCATATATCCACAAGCATCAAGTCTTATACAGCCTGCAGAGTTGTTTCTCTAATTAAGCTTTCTTGGCCACGATCATTGGTGGTTTAAATTCCATTGATCTTCGGTTAACTAGCACCATGACCGTGTCTATTTGATCTCAGTTCGGACGTTAAACGGAGCTACAAGTGAACCCATCTCCATGGTGGCATTAATCTCTGTCAAAGTCTGCCTAACTCATGTGTTGCACCAATGTCACGATTCACCGATGCACTGGTGCATCGCGGGCAAGTTTTTAACGATACGATATACCATTCATTTGTTTTAATATCGATTCATATTTTGACATATATGGATTATTATTTTCATGTTACACCGACATTTCATATGAGTGAGTGAGTGAGTGAGTTTGCTTTTACGCTACTTTTAGCAATATTCCAGCAACATCACGACAGGAGACACCAGAAATGGGCTCCACACATTGTAACCATGTGGGGAATTGAACCCGGGTCTTCAGCATGATGAGCGGACGCTTTAACCATTAGGCTACCCACCGCCACATTTCATATGAACATTCTTTGTTACATACAAACAAGACATTATTGGTAATGAACTTAACACATTTTGTTGTTCTGAACATCAAATGTGTCTGGACTTAGTGCGTCTGGTTGATGGACACTTGGCTGAGAGTCCCAAGGAGTATGATCCCCAGGGAGTTGAGATTGATCATACGAAGTGCCGTTGAGATTGACATCCTATGATGAGGGCAAAAAACAAAGTGCCTGTAAGCAGCCAAGCTGGAACTCGGCGCTATATAAGTAGATTATAATCTAATAATATTATAATATACTCAGTCTTTCCTTCTCTCTAGTAATCCGTGAAGGTCCGGGTTAGAATTGGTCTTCAGTAACCCATGCTTGTTGTAAGAGGCGACTAACGGGATCGGGTAGTCAGGTTCGCTTACATGGTTGACACGTGTCATCGTATCCCAATTGCGTAGATCGATGCACATGATGTTAATCACTGGATTGTATTGTCCAGACTCGATTATTTACAGACCGCAGCCAGCCATATAGCTGGAATCATTGCCGAGTGCGGCGTAAAACATAACTCACTCACTCACTCCTTCTCTAGTAATATCTACCAAAATATTTGGTCACTGGAGAGGTATGGTGTGATCTTGCCATCCATGTAATGGTTGCTTGTTACACGCAAAATGTCGGTAATGTAGTATCGTGATACGTTTCGTATCGTTACCTCAGTATCGAGATACGTATCGTATAGTGAGGCACTTGTATCGTGACCTCCCTACTGTATTCACTCGATAACTAAATGGTCATCAGAAACCCGTGATTGCCGTAACAAGCGACTAACGGGATGGAGTGGGCAGGCAGACATGTCATCGTATCCTATTTGCAAACATTGATATTCATGATACCAGTAACTGGATTGTCTGGTCCAGATTATTTATAGATAGCCGTCATATAGTTCTAATATGAGAGTGAAGTAAAACAACAAACAAATACGTGTTGAAGAGAAAGTGATGGCAGAGATGTCCATTTGGCTTCAATCATTCCTGTTATCACAACAAGCCTCATTATGTCAACCTCTTCCATTGAATAAACTCATATACCATTCAGGCATATATTTCTCCTTGTGCATAATGTTGTGTATCGTTTGCTTGATAAAGATGTTAGGATCACACCGAAACGCCGCATCTATTGCGATAAAGAAGTTGTCTATCCATAAATGAGTTCCTCTTCATCATACCAGCTTCTAAATGCCACTCAAAGAAGAAACAAATATGTATTGTAGAAACTCCTGACCTTAATTCGCTGTATCCGCTTCTGTAACGTTACTATCTATGTATGTGTGAGATATTTGTTACTCAAGCTCCATGTAAGCATGGTGGAATAATATATTGTCAATTGTGGTCTTTGATAATAATAATATGTGCATTTACATCGTGCTGAAGACCATACATAATGTATGCTCAATCCGCTACAGTTACAAACAGAAGCTTCAGTGCATAAAAGAATAAAGTGGCTAAAGATTTCAGTAAGACAGTGATAGTCTCTAAAAAGGAAAGTTTTATAGAACATTTTGATTTTTCGCAATTTTTTCGCAATTTTATACTGTTCAAACTATTTCTGAACATATACCGTTTTTATCATTTAATTTTAGCGTATTATGAGGAAATTAAACTATAATGATAACAGACAGATTTTAAATTGTGACTGTGATAATGGACTGAAGTTTTATTGATCTTCGTTGTCACTTTTATTCTATATTCATTTCCATATGAAAATATTTGTT